CAGGGTGAGGGGTGTGGGGGCTTGACCCTGGCACCACCAGAGCCCCTGGCCAGGGCTTGGCTGAGAGGGGGGAGGTGGTGAGACTCTCTCTGGGGTCTGCAGCACTGTGGGACAGTGACACTGGTGTCCTGCCACTCCTGCCAGCTCTGCCACTCTTGTCACCCCCACCAGCTCTGCCACCTCTGTCATTCCTGCCACACCTGTATCCCTGCCAGCCCTGCCGCCCCTCCACTCCTGCCAGCATTGTCACCCCTGCCACCCCTCTCAGCCCCTCTGCACTGCCAGTGGGTACAGCTTGACATGTTGACTCTGGACACCCCCAGCACCACGGGGTCTCCCCGCACCCACCCTGGGGCACCCATCTGTCCCCATGGACCGGGGTGCCAGGGCAACCCCCTGCCCGTACCAGGGCCGGCGAGTGCTGCAGCCTCCCAGGCAGCAGGTTTGGGTTTCTATGGCAACATCCAGGATCCCGCTTTATGGGAGATGAATCAGGAGCTATATATAGGCATTCAATGGGGGTGCAGGCAGTGTGCCCTGTCTGTGCCCCTGTCTGTGTCCTGCACTGGTGGCAGTGTCCAAGGGCCAGCGGGGCCACCCCACTGAATGTCTGCCCACACCGGGACAGTCTGGCACCCGTGCCCTCACTCGGGGTGATGGCGGCATCCCAGAGCCCAGCTCAGTGCCACCCCCAAGGCTGGGTCTGAGATGGCCCTGCCCTGCTGTGCCAAGCTCCAGTTTCAGTCCCTGTGGTGGGCTTGGTCATACCCTGCCCCAGGAGATGTCACCTCCCCAGGAGCATCTGCTGGCACAGGACTGGCATCAGCAGCGCACAGCGCGTGGTAGCAGCGTGGCACAGTGCCCGGCACATGGCACAGCATGGTGCGTGGCACATGGCACATGGAACGTGGCACATGACAAATAGCACATGGCACGACACGCAACACACAGCACGTGGCACATGACAATGCACATGGAACATGGAACACAGCACATGGCATACAGGACACAGCACATGGCACACGGGATACAGCACATGGGACAGACACATGGGGCACGCAACACTGCATGACACATGCCATGGAGCACATGGCACACAGCACATGGTGCATGGCATGTGCCACACAGCACATGGCACACAGTATGTGGCACATGATGCACGGCACACGGGACACAGCATGTGGCCCATGGGACATGACACATTACAGCACATGTCACAAGGTACATGCACGGGATGCATGGCCCAAGGCACGCATCATATGGTTGCGTGGCCCAGGATACAAGGACACAGCACATGGCACATGACACACCACAGGTCACGTGGCACACAGCACACAACACATGGTACATGACACTCAGCAGGCATCACATAGCATGTGTCACAAGGTACATGGACATGGTGCACAGCCCATGGCACACATCATACAGCACATGGCACATGCCGTGTGACTCACAGCACACAGCACGTGGCAGTGGCCGTGTGCAGGGCAGCAGGGCCTGCTCCGTTGCCACCTCCCTCAACTCTGTGCCCTGGATTCGGGGCTGTGGCACAGCAGGGGAGAGCCCACTCCGGCACACGAAAGCAGCGGCTGCTCCAGCGCTCAGAGCTCTGGTGCTCCCAGCACACTGCCAGCTATGGACACCCAAAATGTGGGGGCAGCAGGGCTGCGGGATGCCCTTGGTTCTTGTCACCAGCCAGGGTGGCATAGTATCACCACAAGGGGACACAGACAGCACCCAGGATCTGCCAGTCCCTCTGCCCACCCCCTGCTAACCCCCAGGGAGGGTGGCACCCAGAGAGCATGAGGATGGGCACAGGGGTCTTGCTTTATTGTGGGAGTCATGCAGCCTCCAAACATCACAGTGACAGAGAAGCGGGGACCAAGAGGACCAAGGGGACGGCAGGGATGGAGTGGGAACAGGCCACAGGGCACAGAACTCCAGAAGTGGGCAGGGCCTGCTGGGGACCCCGGGGCAGTGCAGAGGGTGTCCAGCACCGGGGGGCCGAGACCTACCCCATGTCCCAGCTGAGGGGGCTGTGGCAGGGCTGGGACTCACAGGGACCCCGTCTGTCCCTGTGCCACACCGAGGGGAGCTGGGGATCCTCACTGGGGGTAGCCAAGACTGGGGTCGAGGGTCCCTCACTGAGGTGACC